CCCTGAGCCCTGCCACATGCACGATGGAGGACCTTCTTGCGGCAACACCAGAGGCACTCCAAGTGGCCAGATACTGGTCAAAGGACATTTAATCAGCTACCAAGTTTGCAAAATTTGTGTGTTTTTTTATCTGTTTGTTTGTTTTGTTCTGTTAGAAATGTAATACAATGTTCTGGTTGCGGATGACACGATAAATAAATGCCACACTATGGGATGAGCTGATACAGCACAATGCAGACTTTTCCAACTAGGTGCCTGATTAAAACTCCCATCATCACTAGATAACATGGACATATTTAGGAGCCATGAGCTGGACACCTCTTATTCAATTTTCAGATTAGCTGTTAATATATTGGATGGCCCCTAAACCAAGACACTTCATTCCAGGTCCTCCATCTGTCATTTGTGCATAATAACATTGTTGTACTTTTAGAGGAGTGGCATGAATTGTTGAGAAAGATACTTACATTAAGAAAATTGTGAATTTATAAAGATTATTATTAAACATATGTCATGTTTATTATTATTAAACATTAATTAACCATTAGAGGAACCCACAGGAATCTGGAGAAACATTTCACAATGGCCTAAATAATTCAAAATCAAAAATGTTTTCAGAAAGATGTCACCCTCAAACACACACAAAAAATAGTCAATTAACTGCATTTAATATTGTTAATTGGTTATGGAATTAGATACGTTTGCATATAATTAATAATGCTCAAGGGAAAATATATTATTTTAGAAGATCTAAAACCTATTTTCTGTCTTTCTTGACCATCAGATGTCATGGATCTAACATCTGAAGACTTGCTAGAACACAATATGTCTAAACATTTCATGAGAGAGCATATCAAGAGATGACATGAAAAGACAATAACGCTGGATAATGTGGGCTCATGGTGGTTTTCCGCTCCTAGGTTAACATATATTCATGCCAACTTGATGGCAAACAATAAGAGATGTCCAATCATGTCATGGCAGGAAGAATTTTAGAAGAGTATTCTCCATGAACTTGCCATCTGCTAACTTGAAACAAAAATCACTGTTACAATGTAGTCCTGTTTCAGGAGGCATTCCCTTTAAAGGTAACTAGAGCGCACAGACCAAGGAAGGGACTCTTGTAACTCTCCAGGTGTTGTTGAATTGCAAAACCCCAACTTCCTTGTCAGCATAGCCAATTGTGGGGACTTCTGGGAACTGCAGTGCAACAGCAATTGTTTCAGTTGTCGGTATGTGTGAGGGTGTGTTCGTTGAAATCACAGAGGAAGCACTTGTGCAAAGCAGGACTTGAAAAAAGTTACTGTTTGGACTTCAGTTCCCAGGAAGAAAGTTACTATGTGTTGTCGAAGGTTTTCATGGTTGGAATCACTAGGTTGCTGTAAGTTTTCTGGGCTGTATGACCATGTTCCAGAAGCATTCTCTCTTGATATTTTGCCACATCTATGGCAGGCATCCTCAGAGGTTGTGAGGTCTGTTGGAAACTAGGCAAGTAAGGTTTGTATACCTGTGGAATGTCCAGAGTGGGAGAAAGAACTCTTGTATGCTTGAGGCGTGAATGTTGCAATTGGCAATGTTGCAATTCTCCTGTTTTTTGAATGTTGCTCTTTATTTACTGTCCTGACAGTAAATAAAAAAATAGGGGAATTCCAGACAAGAATCAATCAGGGCCAGGCAACACCTTCCAACAAAGATTCCCCCAGGCAGCAACCAGCCAAGCTTTGAAGCTACAAGGCCATTAAATGCTAATCGGTGTTGCCAATTGCAACATTCACGCTTGCCTCAAACAGACAAGAGTTCTTTCTCCTACCCTGGACATTCCACAGATGTATAAACCTCACTTGCCTAGTCTCCCATATACCTCACAACGTCGAAGGATGCCTGCCACACATGTGGGCAAAACGTCAGGAGAGAATGCTTCTGGAACATGGCCATACAGGCCAGAAAACTCACAACAACCAAGAAAGTTACTGTTTGGACTTCAGTTCCTAGGAAAAAAGTTACTGTTTGGACTTCAGTTACCAGGAAAAAAGTTACTGTTTTGAACTTCAGTTCCCAGGAAATAAGTTAGTATTTTGAACTTCAGTTCCCAGGGAAAAGGTTACTGTTTGGACTTCAGTTCCCAGGGAAAAGGTTACTGTTTGGACTACAACGTCCAGAATCCCCACCCAGAGTTTGGAGTTTCTAAAACATCTTTTTTTCCCCGCGGGCTTTTCACCTTGTGGAGCACACCCAACTTTCATGGATGGGTGGACATCTTTTTAGCGCCAGCTTGCTTGCAATCCCTTTTCAGCCTCTCCTCTGACCGCCATACAGTACAAACGGCGTCTCTTTTTGACATCCTGTCCTCACAAGGTCCCGTCCCGAACAGATCAAGTTGATCCAAGCTGACAGCAAACGCCGCGGATCAAGAGCAGACGCCCGGCTAATGCCAGGAAACGAAACCACAGGGGCTGCCCCAGACACACCTTCCCAAACAGTAACAGGACAACCGATCCACCACCACAACCACCACACACACACCCAAAGCCACGGCGCGAGGCCGGCGGGAGACGTTGCGCAACAGGTCGGAAAAAGTTTCTTTCTGCGTCGGTGCTTCAGGCGGAGCCGCCCGGGATCCGGCGCTGGCGATGCCCAACGCGCGCGCGCGCCTGCGCCTTGCCCAATCGCCTCTCGCGCGCGCTTGCTTGCAACTTGCAAGGGCATTCTGGCACGGGGCGAGCCCGCTGCATACAAAAACTCCCGGGCACTGAGCTACCAGAAGGCGAGGAAGCTCTTACCGCTTCCTCACCTCGGCATCACAGGGTGCATCTGCATGTAGAATTAATGCATTTCGATGCCACTTTATTTATTTATTTATTTATTTATTTATTTATTTATTTACTTATACACTTGTATACCGCTAATATCTCAGCCTAAGTCGGCGACTCATTGCGGTTTACAACAATTAAAAACAGTATTCAATTTAAAACATAAACCACATATACAATACAAATTATTGGGCCACCAATAATAATCCCATGCATCTCGTAACTAAAATCACAGTCCAAAATTCGTCGTCCATGATTACCAGTCCTTTAGTCATCAATATACATTGCAACGGATTAACCGAATGCTTGTTTAAACATCCATCTCTTCCGAAACACCATCAGCGAGGAGGCTGATCGTACCTCTATAGGGAGGGTGTTCCAAAGCCACGGATGAATGCTATATAGAATCCTGAGGGGGTGGTCGTTTTGCAAAGTCTCTAGCCTACACTGCTAAAAAAAGAGTGCTGGTGCCTCACCCAACGATGGCTCCCAACATTCTAAAGCATGGGACCATGGCAGTTCAAAGTGGTGTCAAACTGCATCCATTCTACAGTGTAGCTGCATCCATAGATGAGCTTTTTTATCCTTGCAGGCAGAGGGACCCACTGTTGCTCAGAAACAAGACCCACTCTGTCCCACGGGCCTCTCCACCCTCATGATTGCAGCCCGACGCCCATCATTCCCTACATTTCTCTTGCAGAAGCCCTACTCCCAAGGAAAGCAACTCTCCAGGAAGCCTCCTCCAGGGTGAAGCATCTCCCCACCCCCCCTTGGGGTGTATCTACACCGGGCCTGGGCAAACTTCGATCCTCCAGGTGCTTTGGAATTCAACTCCCACCATTCCTAACAGCCTCAGGCCCCTCCCTTTCCCCCTCAGCAGCTTAAAAGGGGGGCCTGAGGCTGCTAGGAATGGTGGGAGTTGAAGTCCAAAACACCTGGAGGACCCAAATTTGCCCAGGCCTGATCTACACTATGGAATCAATGCAATTGGACACCACTGGGCGCTATGGCACCTCGGGAGTGGTCCTTGCCATCCTTCTGAGCCCAAGAATGCTAAGGCTACAGCAAACGACAACTCCCATGATTCCTTAGTGCTGACAATTCAATCGGTGTCAAGATGCATTCGTTCTACAGTTTAGTTTAGTTTCTCGTTTAGCCTCGCAAGGGTTAAATAAAGCAGCAAAGGTCTGACAGGAAGGAAGGCGCAAGCGATTCCCCTCAGGAGAGAGACACACGGAGAGGTAGGCTCATAGTTGGAATGCCATCCTCGAGTCTAGCCATATGCTCCTTCTGGGAGCTGGTTGAATAGGAAGACATAAACACATGAAGAAATAGTAATAAAGAGAGGCGGGGTACAACAGAGTTGAGATATAAATATGTAGGCAAAACAGTGGAAGATCCAGGTCAAGCTTGTTTGTTGGTTTTTCCGTTTCAGGAGCGACTTGAGAAACCGCAAGTCGTTTTTGTTGTGAGGGAATTGGCCTTCTGCAAGGACGTTTCCCAGGGAACACCTTGATGTTTTGATGTTCTGCTATCTATCCTGTGGAAGTTGGAAGATCCAGGTCTAGTCCCCCCCCCCCCCCCGTGTCAGGAGCGACTTGAGAAACTGCAAGTCGCTTCTGTTGTGAGAGAAGTGGCCGTCTGCAAGGACGTTTCCCAGGGGACGCCTTGATGTTTTGATGTTCTCCTATCCTGTGGAAATTGGAAGATCCAGGTGTAGTCCCCCCCCCCCCGTGTCAGGAGCCACTTGAGAAACTGCAAGTTGCTTCTGTTCTGAGAGAATTGGCCGTCTGCAAGGATGTTGCCCAGGGGACCCCCTTATGTTTTGATGCTTTACCATCCTTGTGGAAGTTGGAAGATCCAGGTCTAGGGTTTTTTTTTTACCCCGTGTCAGGAGCGACTTGAGAAACTGCGAGTGGCTTCTGGTGTGAGAGAATTGGCCGTCTGTAAGGACGTTCCCTAGGGGACGCCTTGATGTTTTGATGTTTTATCACCCTTGTGGGAGGCTTCTCTCATGTCAGGGTAGTTGAAAGGCTGGAGCTGGATCTCCCGCCAGAGAAGCACAGACCACAATGCCTTCCTACCACAAAACGACACACATACAACCTTTCTCCCCGATATTGGGGCGCTGTCCATAAAGACCGCCGTGCCCCCCCCCCCTCGTCCCCATCCCGTTGCTTTCTCTCTCACCCGTCGGTCGATGCCATGCTCCTCGCAGGCGAGCCCCTCGGTGGGACCTTCCCAGGCAATCCCAACGGCGCTGAGGCGAGGGGCGGAGGGCGGCGCTTTCGGGGCGAAGAGAAGCGCCTCTTTTGTTTCCCGCCTCTCTCTGTGTGTGTGTGTGTCTCTGCCCTTATCTCAGGGAGGGCGCCGGGACCCTTGGGGACTTGCCGCCTTGTAAAATCCTGCCCAGGCTCCGAAAGGCGAGCATCCAAGAAAGCCGGGCTCGCGCGGCCCCTCCTCCTCTTTCCTCCTCCTCCTGGATTCCCCGCCTCCTTCCTCGTAGCGGCCGTCTCTCAGTCTCTCAACCTCTTTCTGGCGAGCTCGGAAGCCTTTGAGGAAAGGCAGCAGAGGGAAAGGGGGAAAGAAGAGCAGCTGGGGAGGGAGGAGAGGGAGGGAGGGAGGGAGGGAGGGAGGGAGGGATGTGTGGCGAGAGGAGGCGGAGGGAAGAAGAAGAAGAGGAGGAGGAGATGGTGGACTGGACGGGGGTCGGAGTTGCTCTGTGTGTGTGTGTGTGAGAGAGAGAGAGAGAGAGAGAGAAGGAGAGGGAGGAGGAGGAGGAGACCAAGGAGGTCTCTCTCTCTCAGAGCGAGGTGGAAGAGGTCTATCTGTGTGTGTGTGTGTATGAGCGAGGTGGAAGAGGTCTCTCTCTCTTTCTTTCTCCCCCCCCCCCCTCTCTCTCTGCAAAGGGTGGTGGGTGCTTTGCCAGCCTGGCTTGGGAGGTTTAGCCGTGGATTTGCAGTCTATCCCTCTCTATTTTAGGCGAGAGCTGACATCACTCGCGGGGCCCGCTCCAACAAATGCCCCAGGCCGCCTCCCTGCCTTTCCGAAGGGAGGGAGAAAAGCCCTCTCAGGGAGCCTCCGTAATAGCGGTGGGGGCTCGGGCTCTCCCCTCATTCTCTTGGGCTCCCCTCGGTTTTCCTCGCGTGAGCTGGACACGTAACCAAATCCGAAGCGTGCCCAATGGCCTCAGGTGTTTTCCTACGCCGACAACAGAGGCAACCCTTCAAGCGCTGGCTTCCCCCTGTTCTCGCTTCGCTTGTATCATATTTATCATCTCCCTCTCTCTTAGGAGACCCCGGTGGCGCAATGGGTTAATAAACCCTTGTGCCGGCAGGACTGAAGACTGGACAGGTCAGACGTTCGAATCCGGGGAGAGCGCGGTGAGCTCCCTCTGTCAGTTCCAGCTCTCCATGCGGGGACATTAGAGAAGCCCCCTACAAGGATGGAAAACATCAAAACATCCGGGCGTCCCTTGGCCAACGTCCTTGCAGACGGCCAATTCTCTCACACCAGAAGCGACTTGCAGTTTCTCGAGTTGCTCCTGACACACACACAAAATAAACCTCTCTCTTGATATTTATTCTATCTCTTGATTGATTTATTCCTTTATGTTGTTTATTTGCATTGCTGTATTGTTGGGCTTAGCCTCATGTAAGCCGCCCCAAGTCTCCTTGGGGAGATGGTGGCGGGGTATAAATAAAGATTATTAGAGGAGAAATGCCTCTAGAACATGGCCATATAGCCCGAAAAAACCCACAAGAACTGAAAGATTATTATTATTATTATTATTATTATTATTATTTTACTGACACAAAAGCACAGTGTGTCACAGCAAACGAGATCTATATGCTGGATTTTGTAACAAAAATCACAAGTCGAACACTTCCCAAGCGTCTTATGATTATGATGATTATGATTATTATTCTGTTTACACAGCCTCTCAGCTTCCCCTCAAAACAAGGCCCTCCCTCCCTCCCTCCCTCCCCTCCTCTCCCCAGAGGCTCCTCTCTGTGGGTCTCCCCTCGCGCCTCGCCTCGCGCTCCCACCTCCCCGCGCCCCCTTTTTGAGGGAGCCAATCAAAAAGCCGGGCTCATCAGAGCGCGCCAGCTGTTGCTGCCCTTTTGTTTCAAAAAGCCTATGCTTCTTTTTGGGGCCCTTCCACACAGCCCTATTACCCAGAATATCTGCTCTGAACTGAGTCCACACTGTGGGATTTCTTGTCTTGATATTCTGGGTTATATGGCTGTGTGGAAGGGCCCTTAGGCACCGGGGATGGGGAGACACATTATTATGGCTTTCCGGGAAAGGGTTAAATCCACGCACAGCGCTCCCCCCCCCCCCCGGTCCGTCTCTCTCTCTCGTCCTTTAAAACCTTTCCCCTGGAGATGCGATTGGGAGGCCAGTGCGGAGGGGGAGGAGCCGCGCTAATGAATTAAGGCTCACGAGACAAAGGGCGGCTTTACGGGGCCGGGCGCGCGCTCCCGCACCCGGCCGAGGAGAGAGAGAGGGGCGAATGTGCTGAGCTCTCGCCTTTCTCTGCCTGCCTGGCTTGCTGACGGGGAGAGACTGTGTGTGGGCAGCCCTGGGCCCCGCTCCCTCTGACAGAAAGCCCCATTGAACTCCAAGCAGGGCTTGGAGGGGAACCCACCGGGATAGGCTTGCTATATAAAACGCCCCTCTACAGCAGGCATGGGCAAACTTCAGCCCTCCAGGTGTTTTGGACTTCAATTCCTAACAGGCTGTTAGGAATTGTGAGAGTTGCAGTCCAAAACACCTGGAGGGCTGAAGTTTGCCCATGCCTGCTCTACAGCATGCCCTTTAGTGTGATAGCATTGGGCATCCATGAGGTATGAAACAGTTGTGAGTGTTCCTTGGGCTGCTGAAAAGACCAACAAATGTGTCCTAAAACTAATCAGGCCTAAATATCATCAAGAAACCAAGATGGCTGAATTAAGGCTGTCCTACTTTGGCCTTATCATGAATTGGCATGACTCAGTAGAAAATACTATGATGTCTGGTAATGTGCAAGGCAGTGGGAGAAGCGGGAGACTGCATTACAGGTGGATAGAGGTAGCATGCATTTACACTGTAGAATGAATGCAGTTTGACACCACTTTGACTGCCAAGACTCAATGCTATGGAACCACGGGGGCTGAAATTTTACATGGACAATGAGTGCTGGTGCCTCAGCAAACTACAACTCTTTTATTGTGTCAGGAGCAAATTGAGAATATACTGCAAGTCGCTTCTGGTGTGAGAAAATTGTTACCCGCATGGGAAGCTGGGGCTGACAGATGGGAGCTTAGCCTGTCTTCAGATCTTCAGGTCAGCAGTTCAACTGCTGACCTTCAGGTCTTCAGGTCAGCAGTTCATCTGGCGCCACTGTGACTCTTTACAACTGTCATGATTTCACAGCATTGAGCCATGGTAATTAAAGTAGTTTCAAACTTCATTATTTCTACAGTGAAATAATGTAACCTCGACCTTTTGCAAGACCTGAGCAGAGTTGTCGTTGGCAGCGTGTGTTTGGTTGTTTCACTGCACAAGTCTCTTGTGTCATCAAGTTTCCAGACATCAGTGAGTAGCTAGACTTGAGATAGGTTTAGATTGAGGAATTCCTCCCCCCACATTCCTATGCATGCTTTCTTTCCCAAGAAGGGCTTTGTTTTTACTCTTCTTCCTTGCCACTGTCTCCTCCCCCTTTGAAGATGTAGCAATGGAATCTCTGTGAGGTAACTTCCTTTTAAAAAAAATGCATTGCCCTGGATTGGACATGTGGTCATCCTCCATTTTTTTCTTCTGCCTTTTTCTTTCTTCTCATAAGGATGCATTTTTGCCTCTCTCTAGGCAAAAATATAGCTCCATGGGTTTCTTGACTTTTTACCATTTTTGCTTTTCTTAGAAGATGAGACTTATAAGTTAGTTAGTCCCAAGACCTTTTCTATCAAAATGTATTTCTTTTCCTTCAATAATTTTTTTGAGCCTAAAGTTCTGACTCTGCAACTCTGCGCCATCCTATGAAGGGAAAGCTTATTCTAACTCGCCACATGCAAGTCTCTGCTGGTTATGAAGTTTGCTTCTGGTACTCTGCTATATTTGTGGTGGAATCACCCCAACTGAGGGTTATTTTTGAGCCTAACAACTCAGATTCCCCAACAGCATGACTTGGAGGTCTCTCATTCATAGGATCACCACTAGTAGACATTGGCCAGAAGGCACTTAAGAACAATTACTATGAACAAGTCACTGGAAGTTTAAAGTTTTGTGACACCTGTCTGGTTTTTAAAGAAGCCATGGTGGTCTTGAAGTTTTCCTCCTTATTTCCTATTCTACTACTACAATTAAAACATTTTTACCTTGCTAGGGAATAAAAACAGCCTTATGTTGATGCAATGTATTTACCTTTCTTTGGTTTGGTCATTGTTTCCAAGAGCTGCTGAACTTGCTGACCAAAAGGTCAGCAGTTCAAATCTGGGGAGCGGGGTGAACTCCCACTGTTAGCCTCAGCTTCTGCCAGCCTAGTAGTCTGAGAACATGCAAATGTGAGTAGATCAATAGGTACCACTTCTATGGGAAGGTAACGGTGCTCTGTACAGTCATGTTGGCCACATGATCTTGGAGGCATCTACAGACGCCTGCTCTTCAGCCTAGAAATGGAGATGAGCACCACCACCAAGAGTTGGACAAAACTAGACTTAATGTCAGGGGAAAACTTTTACCTACTTTTTCTATACAACTAGCATTCTTGGTTTACAATTATGTATCCATCTGGGATTAGTACTAGTGTGATCCATTGACATTTCTTCTAAACAGTTGTATTTTTTCTTGCGTTTCTTTAGCAAACAATCATAAGCAAATTAAGATGCCATTTATCCCATTAGCACTTTTGGATAGGCATAAATACACTCTTACAGGTAACACAGCATTCTTCATCAAATGAAATCAACTAAATAAGACAGCTCAGAAGTGACAGTACTGCTGGAAATAGACACTTTTGGAAATTTAAACTTCAATGAGCATGGTTATTCCAAGAGAACAATAATAAGAGCATAGCCATGTGCATCTGGATGCTTTAATTAACAAAAAATATGAACAGGTTCTTTGCCTTTAGAAGCTTCAGTGATTTGAAGCCAGTCCTCCAAGGCTCTGCTGACCTCTGTTGGAGATGTAGTTAATCAATGCTTTTCTTGAAATGGGCATGGGAAAGAGCTGAAACTGGACTTTTCCTGGGAAATTGCAAGCATTTAGTTTTCTTCTCTTTAAACAATTTCTTCTTAATTGGCATTCTGGGAAGTAGGCAGTAGATTAACTTCCTTGGAACAAGGTAGAAGAGAGAAGAATCGTTATTCTTCTAAAGTGGAACACCGGCTGCTAGACTCCCTCCAAGTGACCATAAAACTAGAATAGTAGCTTTTATTTGCATGAGAGAAAATCCCACACTATGAAAAACAACAATGCTTTATATATTTTGCCCCCAAAAAGGGAGAATGGGTTAAAATTTCTTCAAAAATGGGTGTACTGTTTTAACAAACATCAAGTGGTGCAATTGATTTGCCAGAGGTTTCTTTTTAAAAAGGATCTGCCATTCTAAGAATTTCCCAGC